ATGTACAACTTGTTGATTCGCATGCTTCTGAAATCTTATGGCGATTTGTCTTTATAGTCGTTTATAGCTCTTTCATTCTTTTCGGCAGAACTGGTCCTGCCTGTCATTTGATCCCCCCCACCCACCACCCACCACACACAGTTGCAGGCTGCCTCGACACCCAAACCGGAGCTACGGACCAGACTGGTCCTACCAAAACACGAACCGCCTCTACCCCAAAAGCAAAGGCTACTGTACACCTGCCCAAGCCCTAAACCTCAAAGGCTCAAAGGGTTTATGATCTGACGACAGTAGGCCTCTTGAACACAAAAAGAGACTGAGGCTCATACCTTCGCGAATGCTGGCGACTTGTCTCGTAGAAGGGCCCCAAGCGGGAGGGAGTTGCTGAATTGCAGACCTTTCTTGTTGAAAACCCTAAACCCTGTACCCAGACCTTGGAGTTTCTCGAGGTCAAGCGGTCTTTGCATCGGATCAGCTGTTACACCTTCTGGCTACTTCCATTGACAGCCTTGAGAGTTGCCACGTGCGGATTTAGGTTTAGGGTTTAGGGGTTGGGGGTTGGGGGTTAGGGGTTGGGTTTAGATCTAAGGGTAGTATCATGGGCCGTTAATGTGGCCCCTTACCCTCTTTAAAGGGTATGTATAGGGTATGTAGAGGGGAATATAAGGGTCCCTGGCAGCCCCAAATCCTTAAATTAGTAGCTGAGTAGGTAACCTTTAGCCTTTTGGGGTATGTATAATCCTACCATAAGTGCAAGGTTAACCTTTTCTGGCCCAGGGCACTCAGCAACTAGGTTAAGATTCGCCCCTCGTTTTCTGATGTATAAGCCGTGGTGAACCTTAGCCCCCAAACTCCGAAGTCTGAAACCCTTCAGACGATGACTTACGCCGTGCACTGCCCCGGCAGCCTGAACTCTGAACTTTAGGAGTTCGGGCGGTTTAGGGTTTAGGGCTTGGGGTTTAGGAGTTGGGGGGGGTTTAGGGTTCAGGGCTTGGGCTTGGGGTTTAGGAGTTCGGGGGGTTTAGGGTTTAGGAACCCCAAGCCCGGGCAACCCGACAGTGTAGTTTCTTTGTCGATCCATGAGGAATGTTGCAGAAGTTGGCCTCTGAGAAGGTCCTTGGCGAGAATGGCTGTCCACGTTGTTGCTTGTGGCTTTCATGGTTTGCACGTCGGTGTTTGGATGTGTGTTGTCCATTTTCGCGGTACCTGGCATTCGTGCCGCCGACATCATTCGGCCTGAAAGTAGTCCCGGCCTGACATCTGCAAACACATGCAAACACCAAAGCCCCCCAAGGCCCTGCTTAAAGGTTCCCTCACAAGTGACCAACCTAAAAAACAGGGTCTCTGATGTTATATGGTCACTGGGACACCAAGAAGTGCTCCCCTACTGAGCGACCTGGAATTTCCGTGGTGAAGTGTCGCAGTGACTTTTCGACTTTTCGAGCACGGGGTGGGGTGCCACTGGTCGCCAGCCAGAAATCTAGAGCTATGGCTACCTCTTGGCCTTCAACGCGCTGCTGAATCTCACGCGGGACCGTCATGCGCAAGGAACTCGCCCTGAACCCTAAACCCCACAGAATCCTAGCCCACTCATGCCAGCATGAGAGTCGAAGCCCCAAACCGGAGCAAGCGAGGCCCAGGTGGGGGGGTGCACCTCGCCCCAAGCCCCTAGCTCTTCAAAGACAGAACGAAAGAAAGATAATCAAAGAAAGAGATACATTGGGGTTTTCCCCCTTGCACTCACTGTCCTTAACAGGGGTTATAATCGGGGGTACTACAATCTCTATTAAGGACTGTTTTGGTATAAGGGGGAACATCCCAAGAGACACACACACACACACACGGAAAGACATACAGACAGGAAGCCCGGACGCCCGTGAAAAAGCCGCGCTGGGAGCTTGCAATAAACGCTCCTGTAATGTGCGGCTGTTGGAGCGTGCGAACAGTCAAGGCCGAGCAGCTGTTCTGACATCAGGGTTTCGGGTTTAGGGTTTCGGGTTTAGGGTTCAGGGTTTAGAGGATGCTCCGAGAAACCTGAAATGTCGACAGCGAGGTTAGGCTTCTTATTGAATTTGCCGCTGGCTTTTGATCCCTCACCCACACCAAGACCATAAGCTCTACAACCCCTAATCATCCCCAAGCCTAGGTTCCGATGTTCTGTTTGCATTCCTGGAAATCTATGCTCATCGCCCTCACAACTGAGTGTCGATTGTCGGAGTTTGCTTATGCTGCATTCTCATGACGTGCAACCCCACCTCTCCTGGGGTTTGGTAGGTTTTAGGGTTTAGGGTTTAGGGTTTTGGAGGATCACAGACACAGGTCGTCTACTTGCCGCACATTGCGGATGTCGACGGCGATGGAATCCTTGGTCTTGCGGAGGCTGTCTGCATGCCTAATTGGAGGTTCATGGTACTCATTAACCAATTATAACTGTACTTATAGCCCACTTTGAAGCCCCTTAAGTGGTTATAAGTACGGTTATAAGTACAGTTATAAGTACGGTTATAATTGGTTAAGAAGTACCATGAACCTCCAAGTAGAATGTAGCTGCGAAGCTTATGGGGATTCGTGCCAGAGGGTCCGTAAGAAGATTGCCAGAGCCACGCAGAGCATTTCGAGATTTTGGGTGCCCAACTCTCCCTCAAGTCCTTCAAAGTGGCCTAAACCCTAAACCCTCAACCCTATAACAAGAGCACAGCAAGGAAGTTTCACACTGGCTTGAGGGTTCAAGGTGAACCCCAAACCCTGAAGCCCCAACCAAGAGCCCCAAACCAACCCGACAACCCCCCAAGGCCCCCCAACCCCCTTAAACCCTCCACCTCCCCAAGTCAAAAACAAACTGGCCACATCATCCTAAACCCTAAACCCATGAGACAGTGCCGAGTAAACCCCAAGCCCATTCCGCCCCTATTTATGTTACTTAGGAGACACTAAGCTCCTAAACACTCTAAAGCCTCAAGCGGTTAAAGGGCTAGAGTCTGGGGTTTTAGGGCTTAGGGTGAAGGTTCAGGAAGGATAACCCCCCCCCAAGCCCTACACTCCCTAAGTCCCCCTAAATCCCCCAGAAAACGAAAACCAAACCCACCGGATTTCCCCCGAAATCCAAAAAAAAAACCCAACCGAAGCTCCCGCCCCGCCCCGAAACCCTAAGCCCTAAGCCCTAAACCCTAAACCCCCCCCCCCCCCCCCCGATTTTCAGGCGACGCTGGGCCTGGAGCTCTTGATCACCAAGGGATGCTCGGATCCGAAGGCCTTCGAGATCCTGAAGCAGGCGTCTCGGGTTTAGGGATTTAGGGATTTAGGGTCTAGGGTTTAGGGTATAGGGTCTAGGGTTTCAGGGTTTAGGGTTTAGGGGGATCCGGGTGGGTGGGGGGGGTGTATAGAGGGTTTTGATTACAGGGTTTGGGGGCCCTGAGGTCATTGGCGCACTCCGGCCGCGGAAGACGGTTCTGCTGGGCGCCAAGAAGTCGGATGAGATGGAGGAGGTCGGATGTTGCCCACATCTTGGCATGTCCTCCCCTTATACTACCAGTCCTTAATAGTGATTAGAATAGGGGGGGTACCATAATCCCTCTTAAGGACAGTTAGTCTAAGGGTGTACATCCCAACCCACATCCTAAGCCTACATTACTCGTAGCCCTACAGCCCTAAGAATCCAAAACTCCAGAATCCTCAACCCCAGAAGCCCCCCTTTTGAAAACTGTTGTCATTATTACAACACAAATATAATACAAACCATCAAAAACACAATAAACTACAACCATCCCTCAACCCTGGCTCTCGGACCAGGGCTTCCGTTTGCTGGCGGCCCAGGGCTGGGACATCTGCGTTGCAGACGGAGGAGTAGACTCCGACTTGAACTTGCTTTAGGAGTTTTAGTTTTGGGGTGTCAGGGTTTGAGGGTTTCGAGGTTTTGGAGGGTTTTGAGGTTTTGGAGAGTTTGGAGGGTTTAGGGGTTTGAAGATGTAGGGCGTTAGGGCTTCGGATTTCAAATTCTGGGGTTTTAGGGTTTAGGGGGGTTTGGGTTAAGGGTTCAGGGCTTCTTGACCTATTGGCTTCCGAGTCCAAGGGCCTGAGTGTTAAGGTTTCTGGCCCAAAAAACAGGCTGATTTCGTAGTAGGGAAGGAGGGAATTACCCTACATAATCCCTTAAAGGGGTACATATAGGCCCCTAATTCCCTCATTCCCTACTAAGGACCAGGGGGACCGAAAGGTTCCAGGAGTCTCAGGGCTTCAAAGCTGCCCTTGGGAAAGGCCTTCGGGACGACACCCTCCTGAGACCTAAGCAGAAGATACATGATACCCTACATTGCCCTAATCCCGAAACCCGAAACCCTAAACCCTAAACCCCAAACCCTAAACCCTAAACCCTAAACCCTAAACCCTAAACCCTAAACCCTAAACCCTAACCCTCATAGCCTTCACAAGTGCACAGGTTGACATAAACCCTAAACCCTAAAGCTGAAAGCCTAAAGCCTAGACCCTAAGCCGCAGAGAGTTGTTCCTGACAGGACCCTGCCAGCCATCGATGCCGGAAACCTGCGGCGAAGAATCAGCTCCAGTGGTGCTCGGGGACTGAAAATATACGGGTCGGAAGAATTACCGATAGTCTTCCCTCATGGTCCCTATATATTTCTACTAATTTGAAGAAACCCCAAAACCCTATTCTAATCATTAAGGCCCCTGTATTACCTACAGATTACCCCGAAGCATTGAATTTAACCAGAACGGCTGCATTTAGCACATGCCCGTGTAGGGGGGTCGGTGGTTGTCATAAGGACACCAACGCCTCTCTTTGTAACTTTGTAATGAACTTGCCACGGGCACGGTACTTGTGAACGCAGCCACTGCCGCAGGTACACTGGAACAGTCACAACAGTGCTTCTGCACGTCGGACAAGCCTGCGAAGCCTTGTGCCGGTTCTGCACGACTTTCCAAGACAGATCTCAATGCTCTCGGACTGTCCAATGCCGCGACAGACCTCGCTCATGTCCGGAACAATGCCGACGCCAATCGACATGAGCCAAAGCACTTTGATGTCTGCCATCAGGACACCGAGTCCGCTCCCCAATCTTCCTGAAGGCAACCCCGACCTGCCCCCCCGACAAGTACCTCTTACTGAAGTAGAGACGTGAGGGGCATTCCTGGGAAGGGATTGTGGAGTTTCCCAAGCTCTAAAGCCAGCAAGCAATGCTCTTCAACCCATGCCGCCATGGGCCCCCATGTGTCAGAGGATGAGCTATGTCCTGAGCATGATTGACGCGGTGAAGTCAGAGATGTCCCCCTCGACAGCAGTAGGAGCACATTGGAAGGCGCTGCTTCTCCTGGCCGTTCCGGTGACAGGCAGGCACATTTAGGGTTTAGGGTTTAGGGTTTAGGGTTCAGGGTTTAGGGTTTAGGGTTCAGGGTTTAGGGTTTAGACAGACTCACAGCCCAACATCCGAGCGTTGGCCCGGACCACCCTCAACCCCTCAACCCGAACCCTCTTCACAACACCCAGGTCAAGCCCAAAATCATCAATCCTGAACTCCAAATCTGAGAATGGGAAGGTTGGGAAGTTTGGGGTTGGGTTTAGGGAGTTTCGGGAGTTTAGGAAACCCTTAACCCTAAACTCTAAGCCCCAAACCCTAAACCCTAAACCCCAAACCCCAAACCCTGAAAAAAAACCCTGAACAGTTTAGGGAGTTAATTTTTTGTCCACGGGAACCAGGCTGCCTGACGGGCTTCGGCGTGCAGCTCGCGGGTTCACGCGGCAGCTCCTGTGCGGCGCGAAGGGTTCGGCTGGGGGATCGAGGGCTTACCCTAAACCCTAGCCCTAAACCCTAAACCCTAAACCCTAAGCCCTAAACCCTAAGCCAAAAAAACCCTGAACCCTAAACCCTAAACCCTGAACCCCTGTTGGGGGTGGCATCTGATGAATTCAGTGAGGTTTCTCGCTGTACCTCCCGCTCGTGCTGTCGGGTGTCATCCTCCTCTCCGGGCTGTTGGGGCAGCTCCTGCTAGGGCATCCAAGCTGGTTTAGGGTTTAGGGTTTAGGGTTTAGGATTGAGGGTTTAGGATTTAGGGTTTAGGGTTTAGGGTTTAGGGTCTGAGGTTCGGTGAGCGTTTAGGTTTAGGGTTAGACACCGACGCTTCAGCTTCCCACTCGGGACCGTGGACTGCGGAAAGCCCTAAGCTGAAAGTATATTACCTGGGCTTTGGAGTACTATACTTTAATACTTTTTTTGGTTTTGGGTTCCCATTGCAGCTACTTATACCTAAAAAGTGTATACTTTTTTTCTGGGTCTACTCCATAGGTATATTACTCCTCATCAATTACCTATATCCCCTTGGGGAATTATTTTTTATTTTTGTTCATATAAAACCCAAGAGGATATTAAAGATACCTTTTTTTAAGGTTCTAAGGGGAGTATAGTTAAGGACCTTCCCGGGCTAGATCAGAGGGAGAAGCTGCATTCCGGGGATGTTTCCAAACACGTGCGCTCCCAGTGGGTCCAGGAACAAACCTATATCACAGCAATTGGTAGTATCTCTTCTGGCGCGTCGGTTCATGGTCCCGGTATACCGTACCTGGCAACAACTTTGCTTTGCTCCATGATCTTAGATCTTAGAGATACTTGGAAACTTTTTTTTGCGCACTATAATTCCTAAGAAACAGCGAACAGTATCATTATTGCTAGGGTTCCAAGTTCAGTGTGGTCTGATGGAGCCCCCTAAGTGCATAATCGCTTCCCCCTTTTATTAAATGGACCCCAATAATAAAAACACTTTCCGGAAAATCCTGCCGAAACCAACCCCGCCTTTAAAACCCTTTTCCGAATTAGGGGGGGTTCAGGCCTCCAAGAAACCCCTCAACACCAATAAAACCCTCAGAGGGTTTAGGCTTCTCTTTCTCTCTTTCAGTTTACACCACACTTACTTAAGTTGATTACTTGAGTAATCCTGAAGTCTAAAGAATTATGACATTTCGATAAGAATACCCCCTAATAATACAAACACTTTTCGAATTCTTAGAGGGGAGGGGGGGGAGGGGGGCCCCCCCGTTTAATATTAGGGGGATGGGATTAGCCTGCAAGGTACGGCTGCGCTGAGTTCCGCAAGCTGGCATCCCTGAAATACCTTTGGTGCATTGGTCCAGGAATCGTCGGGGGAGCCGCCTGGTGCGCAAAGTTTTTTATTTTTCTCTTCGGTTTTTGGTGGCTTAGAGCGTAGTTTAGAGATTCAGGAGTTATATCGTAGGGCTGTTCTGTTGATTCACCCATGACCTGCATCGCAGCAGAAGCAGCTTTGACGGTGATCTTGGCCGAGGCCAAATACAGCCTCCAGAACGTCGCGGTCTCGATGATGAGCTCCTCCCTCTTCTTCATCATCATGCGGATGACCCTGCTTTGGGTCGCGATCTTTGAGGCCCTGGTAGCCCCAGTGGTACCCTTTGATCTTTGGGGTTCAAGGCTCCCTTGGTAAGTAGCCAACCCAAAAAAGAGTGCCCTTAGCAGAAGACGGTTACCCTAAACCCTAAACCCTGAACCCTAAACCCTAAACCCTAAAACCAAGAGGCCCTGATGCTCCGGCAACTGCCCGGGAAGTTGCAGACGGTGACCCTCATGGCCGTACCTTGGGGACCAAAGTGAACCGTAAAATTTGGGGGCCATTTACCCTGTACTACCTACAATCCCTTTAAGGTTTATGAACCATAAACCCTTTTAAGGTTCATTTGGTCCGTACTAGTACTAAGGATTACTACTAGATGGAATCCCCATTAAGGAATATGAACCATTTACCCTTTTAAGGTTCATGTAGTCCTTAAGGTACTCTTGTCGTGCATCAGCTCCACCGTCCAGGCCCTAGAGGAGGAGGACACCTGGTCCTCCTGCACTGCCCTACTTGGAGGGTCATGGGTACCCTAAACCCTCAACCCCAAACCTTAAACCTTAAACCGTCAACCCTAAACCCTAAACCCTAAACTGAATAACCCCAAGTGTAAACGTACTTATAACCTACTTGGAGGACTTAGGCGGCTTAGAGGACACATTCGGCACGCATGGAATTTGGGGTGGTTTGTGACATTAGGGATTAGGGGGTGCCTTGGGGGTCCTTATTGTAAGGGAATCCTACTCTTTGGGGGACCTCATTAGAGGTCCCTCATTTTCGTAAACCCCCCAAATCGAACAACCAAGAGGCTTTCAGGAGTTTGAGGTTGGCCTCGCTTCGCCACTTCCTAGTGGGAGGTTTTCAGGTTGCGAGGGTTAAGGTACCACATGCACATACTTCAGATCCTAGGATCAGTTCATTTCGGTGTTGAAAGATGTTACAACCCAAAACCCTAACCCCAAACGTCCACCTATGCGAGTGCCCAAAAAAAGTAGTTTTAAAGCCCCTGGACATGAAACGGCCGTGGCCCAACAGAACGGAGGACTCTGGGACGAGCGTTTCGATGCTGGCAATCGTGCCCGGATTTCAGCACTTTTGAGCAACATGTTGTTTCCCGTTGAACATGCTAACCGCTTGCCTTGTACCAAGCCATACACTCTAAACCCCCGAACCATACGGCTTGGGTATACGAACAGTCCGGGTACTATGATCCCATTAAGGACTTGTACTGAGACCCGGAGTGGGCCCTTATTTCCTTTTTTTAGGGTTGGGGTTCCCTTATCATCCCCTTTAAACCAAAAAGGGTACTCTTGGTGTTCCTAGGTTACTCCTGGGTCACCCTCAACCCTAAACCCTAAACCCAAAAGCCTGAACCCTAAACCCTACACCCTACACCCTAAACCCTAAACCCATGATCCCATTAAGGACTTTTAGTACAAGGGGGAACATCCCAACCTGCAGCCTTTAAACCCGAGAAGAAGGTGTTGTCTGCCGTCTGCGGGTTAGCAGACGCCGTGCGCCTCGGCAAGGGTTTAGGGTTTAGGATTTAGGGTTTAGGGTTTAGGGTTTAGGGTTTAGGGTTTAGGGTTCAGGGTTCAGGGTTCAGGGTTCAGGGTTTAGGGTTTAAGGTGCCGCCTGTGGGTTTGGGTTTGGGTTCCCACTGGCACCCTCTTTGCCATTCGAGGACCCTAAACCCCATCAAGCATTGGAAGACACGTCTTGGCTTTTGTCCTAGGTTCGTGGGGAGGACCTAGGGTTTGGGTGCTTCGGTTGCAGAAGACTGCTAAATCCTAAGGCTGAGCCAAAACCCGTTCGGGGCTTAGGGTTCTCAGGGTTCGTCAGCCCTTCTTCGCCCGCCTAGTTTGCGCATGGCTGAACACTTTTTTGTTGTCATGTGCGTCAAAAGCCCAAGCTACTGCTTGCTTAAGGACTGCCCAATAATTAGAATGTTCTTCCGTGCGAGGGCAATATAGGGATTATTATTAATATTTGTTAAACTGTTTTTGAGGGGAGGGGGGGGGGGTTCTTTAACAATAGTAGTAAGCCATAAGGCTTTTACATGCAAATCCCCTCCCCACGCAAAATTATTGATCAAGGGCCATTCCCTCAGTCGGTTTGGGTTAGGGCATTGATGCGCTTACCTAATATCTTCTGATTTACAGCAAGCATGGATGGCTATGGTGACGATGATGAAGAGGGTGAAGATGATGTAGATTCTGACAAATGATGGATATGATGGTTATGATGAGCAGCAGGAGGATGATGCTGACGATGGTGATTTCATGATGGTGCCCAGGTACCCATGGTGGTGATGGGCAATCATGAAGGTGACAATGATGGCAACAATGCAGCCACACGCAACCCTAAGCAACCACATGCAACCGACACTGCCTTAAACCCTAAACTCAAACCCTAAACCCTAAAACCCTAAACCCCCTTTTGCCGCTTGCGAAGGTTCGATACCTCCACGGCCGTGTTGGGGAGGACCTTCGCCCGTGAGCTCAACGGCCCCGCGAGGAATGCCGAGCTTTGCCGCATCATGGTGGCCTGGCCGCCTCTGCTACGATTTGCGTCAGAAGGAGGGTCCCCCCCCCCCCCCAAACGTATCCAAACTAATCTTCCTCAGAAGTGTAATCAATACAGGAATTAATGTCTTTCCCTTTCTTGGGCTTCTTAAGGTATAGCTGTTTAGGAAAAGGAAAGCACTCATGTTAAAAAGACCCGTTTGCGGGCTTGGGGTTTGGGGCAGATAGGGAATTTGGCCGTAGGTACTCCAAGGAAGTCTTAAGATGTAGGACGTCCATCTACTCACTGTTCTCCGGACATCAAGAAAAGGCCCCTCAAAACCTGTAAGCCCTGATAAGCTAGCTCCCTAAATTCAGCCCGGTATAAACCCCTAAACTCACAAACCCTTGAAACTCCCGCATGCAGACGTTGTTGTACCCCGATATGGTCATTTCTCTAAACTGGGTCCCTTTCGAGGTTACTACTAGGAGGCGGCCCCAAATACTTTCAAAAACGGGGACCATCAGTTTGAGAACTTATGTCCGTTCTGCAGAACATGGGTTCGTCCTCTTTCTTGAGCCTGTCCTTAGTTCATCGGTATCCAGAAAGTTCTTGAAGCCCTACACCCTAAGACCTAAACCGTAAACCCTGAACCCCGGGCCTACTTGAACTGTGTACTCTGGCTTGATTATAGGAAGATGCATTGGTAGCGGTGTGATTGTCATCGTGCCTACTTCGACTTTGAAGTGAATCCTTTTTACTCTCAACAGCGCATAGCAGCGGGGCTTTGTGGCTTGGGCCTCAGATACTTCGGAGAGTCCACAGTGGAGGAGAACGGGATTGTATGTAAATTCCTATAGATTTCTGTCCTCTGGTCCTGGACCCCTCACCTGTTTGTCTCATTCATCCCGATATTGTTGCACCGCAAGTTGGCGGGTGGCAGAAACAACCCTAAACCCTGAAACCCGAAAACCCCAAACCCTGAAACCCGAAACCCCTGAAACCCTAAACCCTGAAACCCTGAACCCCTTAACCCTACCAAGGGTACAGCCCCGTAGGGGCCCTGGACAAGGTCATGCTCCAGGTCTTCAGGCTGCCATGCTACATCCTCTTGTTGGCATCCTGGCTGCATCGATTGTTCAAGTTTGGCACGTTTGGGGGCTTAGGGCGTTTAGGGATTGAGGTTTGGGGTTTAGGGTTTAGAGTTTAGGGTTTAGAGTTTAGGGTTTAGGCTTAAGGGTTTAGGGGAAGCCTGCGTTCTGGCAGTCAGGATTTTGGTGCTTGCATTGGACTAGGACCAGTTGTACCCTTCTCCCTTTTTTGGTTCAAAGGTTCCCTTTTCGAGAAACTAACCCAAGCGAGGGTGCCCTTGTTATAATATGGTTCCTGGGCTACAGCTTTTCGGTCCCCGAAACTGTAGATCATACCGGCGAGGGAGCCATGGGTTTCTGTGTTGGGCGTACAGGTCGTAGCGTATAGGTCTAGAGGGTCTAGAAGTAACCCTAAGCACCAGTAGGATCTGTTTAGGGTTTAGGGTTTAGGTTCAGGGTTTAAGGAGCCTAAGCATGTGCGAACAGTCTGCAACCAGGCACTTGAGAGAGCCCTGGCGCAAAAAGGCACCCTAAACAACAAGACGCATGACTACAGTGCTACTGGCACTTGCGACCCACCGGAACCACATTCACAGGGCCCCAGGGGCGGGGGCGGGGGTGGTGAGGGAAGGTGTAGAGGTCTACACTCCCTAACAGACGACCTTTCTGTAGCATTCCTTGTTCATGTACATACATACATACATATATATATATATAGAACATATACATAGATGTACATACATTACTTTGCTATTTGCGTTTGAAAAACAAGCCTACCTGGGACAGCGCTGCCTTGGTTTCTTGTTTCGGGGCTTTTTTTTGCGGAACCGTTTAGACTCATTCGAACAAACAAAAGAAACCCTAAACCCTAAACCCTAAACCCTAGAGTTCGAGGCTAGTGAATAAGGGTTCAGGGTTTAGGGTTTAGGGTTTAGGGTCTGCATCAGTTTGCTTCCATTCCCGGCCGACTGCCCAGGCCCGGATGGAAAAAGGGCTTAGGGTTTAGGGGAAGCAAACCACCCTAAACCCTAAACCCTAAACCCTAAACTCTAAACCCTAAACCCTAAACCCTAAACCCTAAACCCTAAACCCTAAACCCTAAACCCTAAACCCTAAACCCTAAACCCTAAACCCTAAACCCTAAACCCTAAACCCTAAACCCTAAACCCTAAACCCTAAACCCAAGCAGCGCGCACCTCGCGGAGCGAACCTCACGACTCGGGTGCCAACACTAGTCCCTGAAACGAGCAAGAACACGTGCAATCGAGGGGTCGGAATAATTACCAATAGTATTCCCTTAGACTTAGCTGCAGGTCTGGTTTGATTGGGACGATGCGTTTCGTGGCTTCGACATGACGACCTTCGCGCTCACTGTGGTGCCGGTGGCGCTGAAGATACCCGTGTTCCAGGCTCGCAAGCCTCAGAAGCTCCCTGAACTCTCAAAAGCGTGCAACGCAGCAAAACCTTGGCTAGCATTGAACACACTATGCTCAAAGGGAGCCCTCCTACAGAAGCCATCGTAACATACGTCTTTGCGACGGACGGAGGGCTCTCGAGTGATAAGGCCCGTGACCGACACTTCGCGACTGTCAGGTAGAGGCATTTTGCGGCTTTTGGGGGAGTAGAACCGTTGAACAAATCGATTCTTGGGCGGGGAGAGGGATGTTGCTGAAGAGGCCTAGACTTAGGGTTGAGGGTTTGGGTGTCAAGATGTTCCCAGGCCAGTGTCTTCATGGCCGGCGCTGTGCAGACCAGCATGGCCGTGTCCTTCGAAGTCAGCCTGTCATACCTGCTGGAGGTGGGGACCGAAACCCTGCACCCTAAGCTGGGGTTTACAACCCTAAAATAGACCCCCAAATAGTAGGATTCCCTTCTCATAAGCACCCCAAGAAGGTACCCTTTGTAAAGAAAAACCCCTAAGCCGAACACATCACTCATGGGGGTCCCATTCTCTTGGCTCAGCTATGCTCAGCTCATTGCGAAAGTGAGGCTCGACATGTTGATGCCCGGTGTAGGGTATATAGGGTTCACAGGACAGGGTTCACAATAGATGCCATGAAGCAGCGGTTTGCTACTTTCTAGCGCAACCCGAACCCCAAACCCTAAAGAATGAGCAGCTACCTGGCCGGTGCAAACACTAAGCCCTCGCCAGGTCGCCACCGGCCTGGCTGAGTTTGTCACGAGCAAGATGCTTCTAGACCATTTTGAAACTAGGACCCAGAGTGGGCCCTTATTCCCGTTTTTTAGGTGTTAGGGGTTAGGGGTTTAGGTTCCCTTCGAAGCCGCTTGAACCCAGAAAAGGCACCCTGTTTCTTCCTAGGTTACTCCTGGGTCTAGGAACAGAACTGGTTTTCAACTCGCAGATCTAGTACTGGACTATAAAGGGACTGCCATTTCTTTACGGGAGCTGTATCCCTAAACCCTAAACCCTAAACCCTAAACCCTAAACCCTAAACCCTCAGCAGCCAAGGCTTGCCACAGGAACTCTCGCCTGCGTGCTGATGATGTCGGCCCTGCACCACGCGCGCGTTCGGGAGGAGGTCCTGCGACACTTGGTAGGGTTTAGGGTTTAGGGTTTAGGGTTTAGGGTTTAGGGTTTAGGGTTTAGGGTTTAGGGTTTAGGGTTTAGCCCAGTGGTACCCTTTACCCTTTTTTTGGGTTGTGGGTTCCCTTACCAAGTAACCAACCAAAAAAAGGGTGCCCCTATTATAATATGGTTACTGGAGCTACTAAGGACAGCAGGAGTCGGTCCTGGAGGGCCTGAGTCTCCAAGTGCGCCAGTCAAGGCCATCCCCTGGCGATTTGAAAAGGAAGGCATCCAAGAAGAGCGAGGCCTCAAGTGGATCCACCATTTGGGTGTGATCAAATTTAGAAGCCCAGGCGAGCTCCCGGCTCAGGTATGCATTGGGATGTTCCCCCCTTATGCTAAGAGTCCTTAATAGGGATCATCATCATGCCTCCTACTAGAAGCCCCATTAAGGACTGCTAGTATCAGGGGAGCATCCCAAAGCATGAATCCCAGGGCTCCCAGTGCCAGTCTTTTTGCGATTTTTTGGCGCAGGGGGAGGGAGGGGAGGGGGGGGGGGGGGGGGGGGGGGTTTCGGCGTTCAGCCTGAGCCCGTGAAGCAAACCAAACCCTAAGGGTTTAGGGTTTAGGGTTTAGGGGTTTAGGGTTTAATCCCTAAACCCTGAGCAATAAACCCTAAACCCTAAACTTTCTCAGCAGCTGACATCTAAGGTCTTGGTGGGCGGGGTGGATGGCCGAAGTAGGGCAGCCCTAAGCCCACAGCATCACGGGTAGTTTAGGGTTTAAGGCTTAGGGCCGTCGGATCGTTGCCAGAAGGCGGTGTGCAGAAACTCCTGAAAGGGCTATGCTCCACCCCTCCCAGTGCGCCCAATGAATTTCTTTTTATCTCTTGGCTCCGGAGCTTTTTCGCAGCAACCACGCCATTTAAGAGCGATGGGTATGACACGGTCACGCGGATTCGTGGGATTTCTGGATAACATTCGACATCTGAACCCAGCCCAACAGTCAAACCCTCCACACAATATACCAGGGGGCCCTCAAAAGTTATCCCCCTGTTTCCTTATCAAGAACCCTAAACCCTAAACCCTAAACCTTAAACTTTGTAAAAAGGCTCTGAGCCATGATGTCAAACCTAAACTCGGCGCCCTGTAGGCCCCGTAGGCTTACACCCCTAAACAGTGCTAGAAGCCTTCAAGGACCTCAGCAGGTTTAGGGTTTACGGTTTTGGATTAGGGTTTAGGGTTTCGGGTTTAGGGTTTAGGGTTTAGGGTTTAGGGTTTAGGGTTTAGGGTTAGTAAGCCCCGTTAGCTTCAGGCGAACCCTAAACCGCTCAGCAACCCCAAACTCTAAATCCTAAACCCTAGAACCCGAAGACACGCGCTCGGCTCGACCAGGAGCCTAGGATTTAGGGTTTAGGGTTTAGGGTTTAGGGTTTAGGGCTAGTCCTAAACCCTACAAGGCCCAGGCTAAGAGGTTGGGAGGGTTTAGGGTTTAGGGTTTAGGGTTCAGCGTCGTTGGGGTTGAAGACTGCCAGGGAGCATCTCCTACAATTTTCAAATCTGGGTTGAAGAGTTGAAATGTTAAGTTCTTGAATCCGTGGACGCGTCGGCTTTGAAAAGCAGACCGGCAGGACGTGCGCAGCAGGTGCTGGGTTCTTGTCAAGGACAACAAACTTCCAGAATATGATAATTTCATGTAAGTCCTTTAGATCAAGAACCCAGAAGATTGGAATGAGAACTTGACAGAAGTTCCTTGTAGCAAGAGCCCAGAAGTAGTGAAATGATGGAAGTTCACGTCGAACTCATCTTCCCGACTAGCGAGTGGCTCTGAATCGGGAGCCTCGGTGGTAGGTTTTACCCTCGCCGAGGCCTCCCTTTCAGGATCATTGTCCGAACTTTGTTCTGACCCGCGGGAGCCCGCGAATCTTATCGCTGCTGGGTCACCCTTTCAGGATCCCTGTCCGAAATTTTCCTAGATGCACATCCGAGCGCAATTCCTGATTTTCAAGCAAGCATCGTCGACTATGCTGACGAATGCTCGAATGCATTAAGCCCTAAACCCTAAACCCTAAACCCTAAACCCTAAACCCTAAACCCTAAGCAAGGCGCGGCTCGGGTTGAGCTTACAGAGTTTTCAGGCTACGAGTCGAGCCACCCAGTTTACCTTGAATCCTAAGCCATGGGCTCATGCAGGGTTTAGGGTTTAGGGTCTAGGGTCTAGGGCTTAGGGTTTAGGTTTAGGGGTCCATATGTAAGCCCTGACAACATTTCCCCTCATGGGAGAGCATAGTCATAAACATCCTGTTCCCCGAAATCAGTCTTATAGGATCCCTACTTGGAACCTACACGTCACCGCAATCGGTGAGTGTATAATTATGGCTCCTTATAAGTCTTGGTGAGTGTATGTTTTGAGTGTCCGTTTGGTGGTACCCTGAACCCGAAGCCCTAAGCCCGAAACCGCAAACCCTAAGCCCGGCTCTGGGGGGCAAAAAAAACCCTAAACCCTACTGTTGTTACCCAAACCCTACACCCTAAGCCCTTAACACGAAACCGTACTTCCCCTGAACCCTAAACCCTAAACCCTAAACCCTAAACCCTACTTCTGTTAACTCGATCCCGAGCTTCTATGCCATCCTTCCTTATCGTTTCGGGCCATCGGCTGATCCTCTGTATCTCTTGACGCTGAGCGCTGCTGCCTCCTGAATCCGTTTTCCTTTTTTCCAGGGTTTTAGGGTTCCGAAGCCCTAATCCCTAAACCCTAAACCCTAAACCCTAAACGTTGGCACTTGGGGAGTCTTTGGGGGGCTATTCGCAACCCAGGTCCCCTTCGACGTTCCAAACCCTTACACCCTAGAGCCAGAGACCGTGATGCTGTACAAAAAGGGTTTAGGGTTTAGAGTTTAGGGTTTAGGGTTAGGGTTTAGGCCCTACACCCTAAACCCTCAACCCTAAGCCTAATCCCTCAACCCTAAACCCTAAAACCTAGTGTTTAGGATCCATCCCCTAGAAGGGCCCTAAGAACCACCCTCAGGCTTGAAATCCCGAAACCGTGAGCCCTGCGCCCTAAGCCCGCGAACGCAGCCACTTCTTCATGAGGGCCCTTGAAGCCCTCCTGAGGCATTAAAAGCTCAGTTCAGGGAGTTTTACGCCTTAAGAATTTTGGCTTCTTCGGAGCGTATAGAAATTGAATAGGATGTGGGCCCAAACCGCTTTAGGGTTTAGGATTTATGGTTTGCTCAAGCACCCCTCCGCGCAAGAGAGTGTGGACCAGCCACGTGTGGCCGAAGCCGCGTCTAGAGTCCCGAATTCGGGTTTGCCTTGTGTGCGTGACGGCCTGGCGGAAGGGTTTGGGGTTAAGGGTTAGGGTTTAGGGTTTAGGGTGTAGGGTGTAGGGTTTGGGGTTTAGGGCTTATAGGGTTAAGTTTTAAGGGTTATATCCTCCCCTGCTCAGTGGTTCGCCGCACTGCAATTTGTCCGCATTAGTTTTGTTTAGACGATGTCAGGACCTGATCAACGGGGACCCGTTGACTTCCTTGATAGAGCCCTGCAAACTAGTCTTGAACACTAGATTAAAGCCGACAAGCCGGAACAGTAACAGGGTTGGGACTTTTTTCCGGATGTTCTTTAAGCTCAAAAAATGTCGTGGCTATGAGGGCCGATGGAGAGAGAGAGAGAGAGAGAGAGAGAGGGAGAGAGCGCCTTGGCGCGGGAGGTGACCCTCGAGCCCCAAAGAAAGAGAGACAGGGACAGGGAGAGGGAGAGTGAGAGCGAGAAAGTCGTGTATGGGCTACGGGGCAACCCCGTAGGGAGACGGAGAGAGGGAGAAAGAGAGAAGGAGAAGAGAGAAAGA